TCGTTCGGCAACGGAATTGTAAAGGCAAGGTGATATATAAGTAGTTTGTGTTTCTTTAATGTTATATGGAAGTCTATGTTTAAGTCTGTTTGAAATAATTTTTGTTAGAATTTTATAATCTGTATTAAGTAGAGAAATGGGTTGCCAGTTTGCTATATCTGATTTGTTTCCTTTTTTATATATACACATTATGATGGCTTGTTTTAGTGAATTTGGCAACTCATTTTCTTTTATTATATTATTAAATACAATTAGGATTGTTTCGCAAAGGGTGCAAAATTTTCTTTATAAAACTCCGTCGCTTCCGCTAAATTAAAAAGATACTAATCCGCAACTATATTGGCCGAATATTGATTACGGCATAAATGTAAGAACAGATTTTTATAGCAAAATATTAAGCCTACACTACATTGGCTAAATGTTGGCCCAACGTATTACGATAATTGCAAAAAACGGATTTGTAGAACTGCAATATTACGCCGAAATAAAAACATTGGCTAAATGTTGGCCTAATATAAAACCGATTTGCAGAATTGATAATAATACGCCGGAAAAAAACATTGGCTAAATGTTGGCCCAACGGAATAAACTTTCCAATGTTAAAACTTACGTTGGGCCAATATAACCTTGCTGTCTGGGATATGATTATAAATTCTGTTTTATAAAATTATCTCCAAGACTTTTGAAAATGCAGCAAGAATAGAAATGGAACAATAGTTACTAACATTAGTAAAATCACTTCCCTTAAATATCGGAATCACCTTTGCTATTTTTAGTTGGTTGCCTATGCCTTGCCTAATAGAACAAGAAAAAATCTTAAAAAGTACATTTAAAAGTACAGTACGGATTAATAACAATAATTACATTGATATCATCCGCACCTGCTGGTTTGCTGGGTTTTTAGCATTTTAAAAGCGCATTCAAGTTAGTTCAAACGTTTTAAATTGTGATGTATTAGGAATAAATAGATTACTTATTGGATTAATTGCTTCAGGAAATTTTTGGGATAAATTTGGTCCAACAGAAACAAAAAATTTAATCAGCTCGTTAGCTATCTCTTCTTTATCATACAAAAATTTATCATTTAATTTGATAGATTTAGGCAATGTGAGTGTGTTCATTTTAAAACTGCCTTTAATTTCCTTTATAACTTCCCATGCGCGCTTAGAATTTAATTTATATTTCTCAAGGAAATCATTGTAATAATTTTCTTATAGATTTTTTTTTGGACGTTCGAATTGTTTGGCATAACTTTTATAAATATTTTTACTTTTATCTGTTTTTAATTTTAAGAATTTAATGTAAAATTTTTGTTTGATTTTGGACGATTTTCTTAACCCTTTAGTAATCTATGGGGATTTTATATTTTATTATTTACAATGTATTTTAATTTTTGGAAAATGAACAACATATTTCAACAAAAGTTTTATAAAATGCGTTGTAAGCCAGGTTAGCATTATCTAAATTGGAAATGTGCCCCCATTGAAGAAGAGGCTATTGCTCTATAAATGTTTCCAAATTCTTTTCATTAAAAACATGTTTAACAAAAATTTGATTTGTATTTTCCATTTTAGTATTTAGAAAAGAAAACAGGGTTTTACGTAATATTTGAAGCAACATAAATTTACATCGCCTATTAAGTATTTAAACTTGTTTTCGTGAATGGTTTTATTAATTATATCATGATGTAAATATGAACTAAAACTTTCAAATACGTCAGATGGTGGGCGAAAACAACATATAATTGTAATAATTTTAGCTTTTATAATAATCTTTATCCTGACATGTCTGTTGAATAAAACTTAAGCACTTGTTGTGTTGGAAAACTTGACAGTAGTTTTTGTCATTTAAGTACGTATTCATGAAAAAAGGGTTTTTTTAACTTTTGCTCCAAATTTTCTTTTGATCGAAAGTTTAATTGTCAGGCGAACTTAAAATTTAATTTGTTTCCATCACATACCATTGTTGCTGGTAAAATACACGCATTTGCCTAGCTATTGTTAAAATCCTTTTGGTAATACCAATCGTTGCTAAGATAACGGCTTGAAATGTATTGACCTAGAGGCTACAGACTGTCTTTCAAAGTTAATAAATAAAGTCATTTGTCCAGGTCAAAAATTGTGTCCAAAACGCCTTCTTATTCAACCAAAAATTCAAGTTAAAAAATTTACGATATTGATAACATAGATAATATTTTATGTTTAAGTGGCACTATTGATACTAACCTTTCTGAGATTGGAATTTCACTTTTAAGAATAAAACGTGTTAGTAAGAGAGATCATGTTAGTTATGTAAAAGGGAAAATTCGGAAAGTAAAAATTGCTGAAAAAATAGCTGTTAGTGGTTTATCGCAAAATAATAATATCCTACTACTAAGCAGTGCCAGTGTGGAGTGTGAGAACTGCATTAAGTAGTCAGATTTAAAAATCAAAAAATTTTTGATAATTTTTGACAAGAAAGAACGTGGGGATAAAGGTCAAGAAAAATTGACATCAGCAACGTTACTTTTTTCAATAAATTTAGTTAATTAAAAAAAGAAAAATTAGACTGCGTTTGTAAGCTTGTGATACACAATCATATAACCTTAAGTACTTTAATGACACTAACTAAATTTTTACTTTTTTAAGACAGTGTTGTGTTTTAAAAATACCACATAACCATACATAAGCAAAAACTAAATAAGCAAACAGGAGATGTTTACTCGTAACACAATTGCTTTTTTCAAAGTTTGAGTTTCTTTGATTTGTATAAATACATAGTGTACATTATATTATTTAAATTAATGCCAAGGATCGGCAAACAGCTGCTCGCAAGCCACATTTGATGTTAAAATTTCGATGGTTAAATGCGGCTCTTAAACTCCATCCAGAAATACTTTTATAATATTGAAAACAAGATTTTAGTAGATCTTTAAAAAGTGGAAAATTTTTCTAAATTGTAAAATCTGGCTCTTCCGTCTTAAAAGATTGCCAAACCTTGGTTTATACAAGTTATCAAAAGCATTATTTTGTTATACTAGAATCTATTAGAAACAGCCTGCTTTCAATGTGAAATTCGATTAGGTTTAAAGTTAAATAAGAAAGCACATTCGAGGGGTGGGACTCTGCACTATAAATAAATTAACATTATAAATGTTTAACATTATCTAGGACTAGGGTTGTCAACGGGTACACGGATATTCGCCTGTTGCTCACTACCTGGGTAGCATTATTAAATGTTACCCGTTATCCCAAAATATCCAAATGCTTTCGTTATCCATGCAAAAACTATATGCATATTTCATAATTTACAGATGATTGATTATATATATATATATATATATATATATATATATATATATATATATATATATATATATATATATATATATATATATATACATATATATATATATATATATATATATATATATATATATATATATATATATATATATATATATATATATATATATATATATATATATATATATATATATATATATATATATATATATATATATATATATATATATATATATATATATATATATATATATATATATATATATATATATATATATGTAATCAATCATTTCCAAAATTTCTCTTAAGCACGAAATGTGTAAATATTCTAGTAAATAAGACAATTTTTTTAATTTTTGTTAAAAATCATTTATTTTATAAATACATGTTTTGACTATATCATAGTCATTATTAGTTAAAATATATTAAAATGCTTAAATCAAATTATTAAAATTGAAGTAATAGAGACCTTATAATAAAATCACAATAAAAATGCATTTAAAAAATGTAACAAATGTTTTAAAAAAGGTAAAAGAATCGGTAATGCTAAAAGAAACTAGATTGAAATTGTCATTTTTACATGGTTCATTTGTTTATTAATAGTGGATTTTTCGCATTCTGTTTACACGCTTTCTTTGAGTTTTAATATAAATTTGTTGAAGGCTGAATCCAAAATTGAAAAATTATCTTGATTAAAACTATTAAAACAGCTTTCATTTGAATGAATATGTTTATAAATGTATGATAGGTTGCTTGAATTTAATTTTTTTACCTTCTATCATCCACTGGAAGAGGTTTAAACCAAGAGTGTTGCATGTAGCAATCATTCTTACTTTTTTATTCACAGCGAGCCTTTTGTTATATATTTATTTATATAAGAGCCATTATCTGAGAAATATAGGCAAAATCGGCAAAGTCTGGAACTGATGTCTTCAAAATCTCTTCATTTTCAGATATCTTATAGAAAACAATGAAATTAGGCCACAGTTAAATTTTTTTTCGAAAACTCCCATTATTTGCGGAGATATCGGGGGCTGAAATTTGTCCCATTTTGTAAAAATATTGGTGCATGGAACGGAATTACTACTTTTAGGGGCAATTTTAGCAATATGAATTTGAGAAACTCATTTATTCTTCTTATTTCTACTACTCTGAGTGGATTTCTCTGGTTAAAATAAAAATTCAAAATGTTTACATTTTTTATTGTCTAGAAATCACGGTTCAAAACCGCTAAATTTGAAATTTTACCCGTACTTTGACCATTTATATCTCCTAAGGCCATTACTTGCACATAATTTACTTAACTGCTTTTGAAAGCCAATAAGGTATACATTGAATTTATAGAAAAAAAATTATGAGTATGCAAGAGCCTGGGAAAGAGTAAGCTTCCAAAAATGAATTTTCGCGGTTAATACGCTTTGTTAGATTACAAATAACAATCGTGGCCTTAGGTCTGCCATGAAATGTATAAGTTATTTCGTTTCCTTATACATGCATCTTTCAATATCTGAAAAAAAATTCATGTGCTTAAGCGATAAAAAGCCTAGAGAAGTCCTAGAAATAGTCTAATTTTGCCACATTCTTAACCAACAAAATACCCTAGCAACGAAATAGATATGCTTAGCAACGGCTTCTATAATTCGTTAATAATTAGTGCTCTAACTAAAAATAAATAAAAAATACATTTTTATAACAAAAAACTTTATAAAAGCGCTTGATAAAAGTTATTTTCTAAGCTTCTTTTATGAGAAAAAGATCCAAACATCACACACTTTGAAGTGTTTATATCATTGTTAAAACAATTATGTAAATTTCGGATAAACGTTTTTTCAAATACAACTTGTTTAAGAAAGCAAACCAAATAAAGTTTTAAAGAAGTTTATCTGTCAATCTGAATTTCTATGTTATACATATCGTCTATTGAGAGAGAATAGTCCCCTCTTTGATTAGTTGGTGTTAGTGCATCAATCCTACAAATAACGTCAAGATATAAATATTGGAGAATATTTTCCTTGGTTGGCCACTTGAAACAGTTTTTTTCAGGTGTAGTAGAATATTCCATACAAGAAACATGAACATTGTCACGATTGACCTACAGGGTTAAGTTAAAAGTAAAACAACGTCTAATCATTGGTGCTTTCTGAATATTTCTTACATTTAAATGTTGTGGTTAATAAATTAATAATTATATAACTTAATAAAAAAGATCTAATACTCAAAAATTAAATATTTTGATGTTATAACGTCTTACACTTTGAATTATTGCAGGATACCACTGCATATTATATTCAATAGCAACCCAATCACCAATTTGAAAATCAGCTGCTATCTCCTTTGCTATGAGCTGAATATCGTTGTTTAAATCATCATCTTTATTTTGACTTGTATGTCTCGCATCATCAGTCAGATCAATCATGTCATCAGTTAGATTAGCATCTTCACAAAAAATGGTAACTAGCTTTCCTTCTCTTTTTTGTTTACTCCATCTAAAAAAATGTACTTGAAGCATGAAGGTAAATTCAAAATATTTATCTTAAAACTCAAGAAAAGAATAATATTAAATTTTATATCATTCATACTTTGATTATCAGTAAATATAGAAGTAAATTTACTCGCCTAGAGAATAATGATCGAATTTGTTGAGTTGTCACATATTCAATTGGCTTTAACTTTGTCCTCAGCTGCTGGTGAACCTGCTCTGGGCTCTTTTTTTTCCCTTGTTCTTCTCCAGACATAAACATCTGCATTAACAATGTTTTCTGCTTTGAAGAATATCTGAACACTTTTCTTTTTGGTAATGCCCACCCAGTGATGTCTGTGAAGTTTTCAATCCCTTTAATAACAGATTGGGATGACGGCAGATAATCATAAGAATTTAGGTTTGAAATTTTCATTTTGTTGATATAAGATAGTTTTGCTCTGTCTACCATTGATTTCTTCACAGATTGAAAATTGTGGTTTTCTGATAACAAGTGTACTTCTAACGATTCATTGTCAAAAAATGAATCAGTGCAACCAAATTGTGTACAAAACTTTAAAGTGTTAACTCTTCTATCAACACGTGGTTTTTTGGAAATTGTTGGGGCAGTATAAATTTTGCAAGTCGAACTAAAGGGCTTAACAATTTCAACTGAAGCATGGAATATCACATTTGTATAGTTCCATTTTTTACCTTTACCAATTCGGAAGTATCTCCACATTATCATGTGATCAGGAAAAAACTGAAAAGAATGATAACTGCTTATGTTGAGGAATCAGATTTGATCCTGATAAAATAGAGGCTTTGGAATTTATTATAACTACAGCAACATCAGCGTTTTGAATTCCTTTACCATTATGAAGAGCCTCATAAAGATCTTCTGCAGTCAATAAATTGTTTCCTGCGTCAACAAAACTCCTAATGACACATTTCGCTCCTGCTGACTCTCTATCACATTGATCTTTTCCACGCGAAGGCTCGTTGTAATCATACCTTTTAAGGAAAAATTTTTTTGCTTTGCAAACATTGTAAAGGGCTTCTAAGTAGAAGTTTCCATGATAAGATGATGCATTATCTGAATTAGCATAAAGATTCTTTAAATAAGGAAAATCATTTTTAACTTTGGCCAAAACAACATCAGCGAGATAGAGTACATCAACAAGGCTTTGCTCACATCTATATACAGCAGTAAAATACACTTTTTTTTCATTCGACCATTTTCATAGAAGAATAAGACATCAACATGTAGAGTCATTCCTTTTTTCCCAAAATATTCTTTTTGGCCTTCACGGAATTTAGCGGGCAATATTTTTTGACAAAAATCCTTTAGCCAAAATCCTGTTTCCTCATCAAGTTTCTCAAAAGCCATTATTTTGGCCATTTTTTGCTGCGCATCACGAATTTGATGTTTCATATAGGCTTCAACATCTTCTGTAGCCACATTTAAATCATATAGTAGATCTTCATCTTCACTTTGTATAACCAACTCACGAACCTGATTGATTACTGAAATGAGGTCAGTACAGTCAATGCATTGTTCATCGTCAGCGGTTATGTTTGATTGGTTTAAGTCCGGATCTATATCCGATAGGGCAAATGAAGTTTAGTGACTATGCAAAGTTGAATTTTCACTACATTTGGAAGGATAATTACTCTTCAGATACCTTTTACCTTTTTCAAGAAACTTAGTAACATTTTTATATTTCCACTTCTCAGAAATAGCAATTAATGTTTGGAAACCGTTCATGCCAGCTGCTGTAACATCATCAAGACCAGCTAAAGATTTCCTTTGAGAAGGTTTTATTCCACAAAGAATTCTCCATAAAGAACTATCTGACATAGGGACATAATTAGTTTCTAGGCAAATTTCTTTACAAAATGTGATTGTATGGCTAAACTTCATCATCAAAATGGCATTAGCCACTTTTTGTTTCTCTCCGTTGTCAAACTTTATTTTATTTATACCATATGCTACATCTTGAAGCAGACCTCGAGAAAATAAAAATTCCAAAAAATGTTCAATTTTTTCTTGAGGCATTCGGCATATTTTTACCTTACCCTTCTTTGGTATGGAAAGTCCAATGTTTTCTTTCTGCAACTTGCGTCCTTTTTCTATTTGATGTTTTTTGCAATCAAAGACTTTCATTAATGTCTCTTTAGTGTACTTATTATGATTAACAACTGAAAGCAAAAGAATTTTTCCTAAAGAATCGCTTTCTTGGAACATCTTAACTTGTACAATTAGGTCTTCTGGAACCATTTCAGTTGCAACATTTTCATCTTCACTGTTTAATACTTGGGTTATAAGTGCTTCTGATTGACCAGGTGCAATTGCTTCAGCAAATATCTTCTCGAGCTGCACTTTACATTTCTCAAATTTTTTTTTAACTTTCTGTTTAGTTCCTTGTGTTAAGTCTTCTATTCGCTTTTGCGTTATGTGAAAAGACAGTGGACTTGCTCCTAGTGCTTCAACAAAGAACTAGCTTTTAATTTTGATTATTCGATGGTCTTATCTGAAATGATTGCTAAATCTGAAACATAAGCTTTATCAACATAAGAACTAGACTTTACTGTTGGAATTGGTTCTATCATGTCAATAATATTATCTATAGAAATAGTTTTTAGGTGCTTGAAGCAAAATACGGCTCCAATAGGTAGCGATGAATTACTTTTATTATAAGTAGCAAGGGTATTCAAAGGTATGGATCTAATTTTTGGTGCTTTTTTACCAACTTGAAATATATGACTTGGGTATTGACATTTGTTTGGCGGCTTCCATCCAATACCAAAAGAAAAACGGTGGTATGCACATAACCAGTCGTCGCATGAAAGATAAGTTTGTAATCGACTTTCAATTAGAGTTTTTTTATTATACTGGTTTGTCTGCAGTAACTATAAAATAGTAATGTTAAATTTGTCATCTATTTGTTGGAGGTATTGTTGCTTATAATTAAAAATATATATATTAATTGATAAATTATACCTTTAGTACTTGTAAATGATTCTTATGTCAGCAGTTAATTCATTAATTTGAAAGATCCCATGTTGTTTCCAACGCTTAAAAGGGCCACAAAAAGTCTGTCCTTTATCAAAATACACAAAAGTTTCATAGAGACTGACTAAATTGTTGCTCTCTGACATTTTGTATTTAACTTTTATTTTTTATTTTATTATTTTTTATTGAATAAACAAAAGATAACAAAACAAAAAAACTTTATTTCGTAGTTTCTCATCTCATGCTATGGCTATTTATTAAATTCATGTGATAATTCTTCGAGAAGAATGTGTCTCCAAGGAAATAGTCTTGCAATCATTAATAATTGTCTAAAGAAAGTATTACAAATGACTGCCCAAAGGGAAGTGCTTGTGTAGCAATCATTACAGTCATTAAAAAAAGTCTTTAATGTCACTTCCTTACTTTGGTTATTACACTTTTGCCATCGCATTCTTTGAACCTATTGTTGCGCATTTTGTTACATTAAAAAAGCTTAAAAAATAATTTTTATCAAGCACTTTTGTACAGTTTATACAGTTTTGTAATAAAAATGTATTTTTTATTTATTTTTAATTTGAGTACTAACTATTAAAGAGTAAAAGTAGCCGTTGCTAAGCATATCTATGTCGTTGCTAGGGTATTTTGTTGGTTAAGAATATGGCAAAATTAGACTATTTCTAGGACTTCTCTAGGCTTTTTATCGCTTGAGCACATGGATTTTTTTTCAGATATTGGAAGATGCATGTATAAGGTAACAAAATAACTTATACGTTTCATGGCAGACCTAAGGCCACGATTGTTATTTGTAATCTAACAAAGCGTATTAACCGCGAAAATTCATTTTTGGAAGCTTACTCTTTCTCAGGCTCTTGCATACTCATAATTTTTTTTTCTATAAATTCAATGTATACCTTATTGGCTTTCAAAAGCAGTTAAGTAAATTATGTGCAAGTAATGGCCTTAGGAGATATAAATGGTCAAAGTACGGGTAAAATTTCAAATTTAGCGGTTTTGAACCGTGATTTCTAGAATTATATCCTAATTACAACATTTTTATTTTATTTTTCATTTTATTTTTTAATTTTCTCAAAGAAAGATATTTAACATTTTGACTTAAAACTTTAATAATGATCATGAAACATGTCAAACTACATACTGACAGAATTTTATCAAAATCTGAGATGGTCGAGTGGGGACATCTGGACCACTTGATATGGTCACAGTAGTACTATTTGTTAAATAAATATTATTAGATCCTTGATGAATAAGTAGTACTATTCGTGTGACCCAGTAGTACTATTCGTTATTACCGTTACTATTCATGTGATGTTTGATGATACACCCACATCGCAAAATCAAGTTGTGATCGCTCCCTCTCTCCCAACCGCGTCATAATCTTTTTAGAGTTTTGAGTTACAAAAAAAATATTTAAAAAACACTTTTCTTGTCAAATTAAATAAAACATACTTTGTAAAAAAGTTAATAAGAGTAAAAAATGCCAAAAATTAAAAAATTTCAGAAAATAAAAAAAACAAGGTCAAACGTAAACTTTTTGTAAAACCTGTAGCTGTAAGTTTATTAAATGTTTTTTTAAAAATGTTTTATATTTAATATTTTTTTAAATGCATGTGTTTTTTTTAGATTTTTAAACCTTACGTTCCGGAAAAAACATACAAAATAGCTCAAATTTATATTCCTCGAGTGGTTGAAACAAGACCACTCGAAAGGGAAGATGAAGAAATGTATAATGACGAACTGGAGTATTTTGATGACATACCAGAAATAGATGACGGTAAATTTATAAATTTATAAATATTATTTTTATAAACATGATGTTTTTTTATGACTTTATAAATATTTTTAGATCAAGTACGATTATTAGACGAGATAATGAAAAGAAATGACGAGATAATGAATAGAAATGAACGTTATTTTAGTACACCACGACAAATGATTTGTTTTGTATGTTGTTTATGCGATGTTTTGAATGATGTTTATATCAAATTTCCATACGATAAACGATTCGAAACTCGATTGTTTTTCGTTATAACCCGGAGTATCAATAACAATAATATAAAAATATTTTTTTCGTATACACGTTAATAAAAAACAAAAATCATAAAGTTCTTTCAAATTTGTAAAGTTTGTTATTTCTGTAATACAATCTAACTTGTCTATCATTTGTTCGATTGATTTATATTTTCTTTTTTCAGTATTATTTAACACTTCTCTACATTTCTTCTTTATTTCTTTCAGGTTCATTTTGATTTATTTCAACAAACTGACAAAGAATAAAATGTGTAAGTCCAATAAGGCACGTAAAAATAAGTATTAATACCAATAGTAATAGCTTCAACGGAAACAAGCAAATTTTTAACAACAATTTTGCAAACTTTCCAGATTTTAAATAATTATATATTTTCAATGCACTTGATATAACAAAATTTCCAACAGGTTGAAAAAAGTTGTATACTCGTGTAGCACTTTTTTTAACAAAATTTAAAACTTCCATTTAAAATGCTAAAAGAACTTCTATAATTTTAAAAACAAATATAACAGCTTTAACGAACTTCCCAACTATGTACTTGATTACCATGTGAATCGCACATATTCGGATTTGGTTTTGGTTTTTCTGAATTGTACGGTTTTACAACTGCAACAAGTATTGTTTTATCGAACTGTTGTAATGGTTTGTTCTTTGATTTCATCTGATTTTTATAATATCAAAATTTCTTCTTATTATTTAATTCTATACAAAAATTAACTCTAAACAAAAAAAAAAGAATAAATTTCTTTTAAAAAGATTAAAAAAGATTATGACGCGGTTGGAAGTGAGGGAGCGATCACAACTTGATTTTGCGATATGGGTGTATCATCAGATGTTATCTTTACGTTTTGGCCATTACTATTTGTGAAATGACGTTACAATTTGTGTGACCCAGTAGTATTATTCGTTAATTACCCAGTAGCACTATTCGTTAAATGAATAATATTAGATCCTTATAAAACATTATCAATAAATATACTATTTGTAATTCGTTTGTTCCAATCCAATCTGAAGTTCAAGAATCTGATTTTATTTTAACGATTGCAAAACAAACAATTCCCTTCAAATATTATTAGCAATTTTTATGATTCTTTATGTTTGAAACACAAATAATATTTGGAGCACAAATAGTTCCATTTGGGTATTGAATTCGCACAAAAGAGTTTACGTGAGGACGTAGGTAAAATTCTTAGCGTTAAACGTAGAATCAGATAATACTATATAAAACAGCTAATAATATAGATTATTTAATAAAGAGATATTTATTAGTTTTTTATTCATTTTTTTTCATATTATTTTTTTATCAATAAAGTTTGGTGTCCTTCTTACACACTAAAAAAAAAGGTAGAAATTTCTTCTTAAGGTAGGATATGTGATATACCCTTAGTAAGGTATAATTTTCTACCTTAAAAGGTTTATGGCAAATAACTCTTTTTATTATAATTTTCTACTTTTACCAACAAGGAAGAAAATTATACCTTACTAAGGGTATATCACTATCCTACCCTAAGGTAGACATTTTTACCTCTTTTTTTTTAGTGTGTATGATTATATTTTTTTATGGTGACGTCAATCACTTAAAAAAGTTATAATCATAAAAGGAACTATCGCTTATAACTATTACAATTATTTTTTATTCGCTTTTTACTTTTAGTATTACTTTTTGTTTTTAGAGTAAATTCGGGTATAATGAGCATCAAGGTAAAATGAGCATACCAAAAAATTTCTAAGATGAGAGCAGTGAAGTTCAAGTTGTTTTGTATTTTTTGAATTGACTTTATATGGTTATAGCAGGTATTAGTATAATTAGCAAACATTTATACGCAGTAAGTGGATTCAGTTTTAATTATGTCGTGGCTAACTTATGGCGCTATACTGGTTCACCCGTTACTAACAGCGTCACTATGTAAGTTGAACAGCTTTAAAAAAATGCAAAGAAACAGCTTTGGTAAGAAAGAATTTTGTTGCGCATTTATTTTTAAAATAGTTAATTTTTTAAATTTAAAGTTCAAGATAATTGTATATACTAGGATTTTTATATTTTATGACACTTTTTAACTAATTAAATTTTTCTCCTCTCTTACTTACGTCAATAAAGTGTATAAAATAGAAAGTTTATAAATTATAAACGCGCTTACAGTTAACGATAGTTTCATTAATGATCGTACTTTTTCATTTCTTCGTTGATTGCTCAACTTCGTTGATTGCCCTACACAGTTGCTTACCCCGTTGGAGCAGATTGGACAGCTTGGTTAGCTTTAAACAATATCATCTTAAAAATTATATTTTTTCCTTAAAGCAATTTTAGCAGGTTAAAATATTTTTCCAATAATCAAAAAAATTGTAAATCCGACTCACAGATCATGAGATCTGTTATATTTAGTAAAATTGCTAAACTAGCCCCGCTCTACCCTATACAAATAAACCTTATATAATTTATACAATAAAAAATTTTAACTTCATATAATTTACTAATAAAACTTACAATATATAATGAAGTTTAAAATACGTTTAAACGTTGATAATTAAAATAAAGATTTAAAATTTTTATTTTTTAAGCAATCAATGAAAGTAACTTGTTGCTTTGTTTAACCCTTTCAGCCTCACATTTTATTTTTAAATTTTTTTATTAATTTTTTATAATTTTTTTTAGGTGTCTTTAAGAAGATCTAACGGTCTTGTCAGTTATCAGTAAGTAAGTTCACGCTTCCTTACTGATGACGCAAAATACGCTCAGAGTTTGTTTTGAAACCTGGATCTTTTGCTTTTAAAACAAGTGCTCTAACCACTGCACCACAGCCGCTGCATATTAATTGCTTGTTAAAAAAATCATGGTATGTACAAATTGTGCAATATCTACTACATAGAATATAATATTTAACAAGAAATTTCTATAATTATATTAATAAGAGATAATAATAATTAATTAGAGAGACACTGACAGAGCTGAAAATATTCTTGGTTCAAAATGAAACCGCTGAGTCTAATAGGGTAATTATAACATCGAATATAAGAATAGTTAAAGTTATCAGTAACCATAACAACTATAACTGTCTTTTAGATTTAACGATGACTGTCTACTAGACAAAATTAAAAGAAAAAGTGTTTAAAGATAAATAATGATTGAGAAAGTATATACTTGGAAAAGATTTGAAATTTTATTAAACTAGAAAATATTGAATAAATAACACAATATTTTGCTAAAGTTGAATTTAAAACTTAGCTTTAAATCAAAAAAGCTCATGCGTTACTTTTGTTTAATATTGTTTTTTTAATGCCTCTCTTTTCACTGTTAGTTTTTTTAACATTTCTTTTTTTTAATTGCATTGCATTGCAATTGGTTTTCAATATTTCATCGAGAACAGGTTTAAGGTTAGAGTTCCAAATGTATTTTTGCCTATCGTAAAACCAAACATCAGAGTTAATAGCAAACGGAATTTTATTTTTAGTCAACTCGCATGTAACAAAGTTTGCAAAACGAACTTGTTCTTCAACAGTATATTGGATTTCATCTTTAGGGTCTGCATTGTAATTTCCAGCCATCCAAGCACCAACCCATGTATAAATATTGTTTGAAGTCTGCCAGTCTAATGCAACTTTAATTTTATTCGTAATAATTTTTTTTTCAGCATCAGTTCCAATTGTCCATATTTTCTCTTTGCTTATACGTGATGGTCCTGATTTATAAAAATGATTGGTTAAACTGAATACAATAGACTAGTTATTTCAATTTTAAAAAAGAACAAACAACTTGTTTTTGAGTTTTAAATTTAAAAAATTGTTGCCGTGGATGACTATTTAGCACCCATAGCAACATCCACTCACGTGGATGATTATTTAGAACCCAAAGTACATCTTTGTAATAACGGCGTTATTAAAAATTACCTGAAGCATAAAAGTGCCATTCAACCATCAAATAATCTCTTGGAGTTGGTATAACAAGGTCTACTAGTTTTTCAGGCTCAGATCTTACTCGAGGAGATATGAAAATTATTCTATTTGGATTTGTATTTCTAATAATAGGAACTACTTTTGAATAGAGTTTATTCAGCATGTCATTTTTATTATTTAGTTCATCGGTAACTTCAATTATAATATCAAAAGAGAGTTTCAGTGACATACTCTGATATCTTTCAGCTATCTGACTCCACCAGTTAACAACTAAATCAAGATTGATGTCTGTAGGCCATAACTTAAAAAACTCAGCTTGAAATGCAATGACAGGAATAACATTGCTACTCAAACATGCTTCTAAAACTTTATCAATATTAAGTAAAAGACTTGTTGTTATATTATCCTTAATTCTAAGTCTGACATGAGAAATACCAATCTTTGAAAAATCTTTTACAATAGTGGAGTTAAAAGTTTCCATTCCCTGTCCTGTTTTTACCCAGTCAACATCCATACCTTTACCAAGCATTTGTTGATAATCAGCCGGTGAAATTGCATAAACTTTTTCCAGAACAAAAAGAGCTGAAACATTCAGAAAATATAGGATTAAAAAAACTAAGTATTATATGCTATCATTATTATATTTACATTATATTATATACAGTGCGTTATATAAATGTATTTATTAACCCTTATTATTATACCTTAGAGCAATACCAAGGGCAAATTATCTTTAATTGAAAATACAAAATTTAAATTTGTTTTTAATACAAAATTTAAATTTGTTTTATTTAGCTTTAAACTATTTTTTTCCTATAGCATCTACTTTTTTCCTAATTTTTATTTTAAGTAGACGTAACCAGAATAAAATTATTTTCAAACAATTAGTCATTATTCATTGAAAAATAAACCTATACTTTACACATTTGAATAAATGCACTGATTGAAAAATGCAACCATTCCAAATTTAAGCCAAGTTGAGTTTTTAGGACGTTTGTTTATAAACAACAAACAAGTTTGCTATAGTATTGATTTTAAAAATAGTTACAAATTTTTATTTAATATTTTAGTTTTTAAATATACAAGGAAACTTTTTTAACACTTTCAAATGCATTGAATAATACAAATTCAATTAATAAACGCCAATTGATTTTTTATCAAAGGTGCACGCTTGTTCTCCAGGATCAGATTTTTGAATTGACTATTCACTAATAATTAGAGAGAGGTCCTGTGCCTAACTATCTTTTTAAATATATTAACTCATAATTAGATAACAAATAGTAAATAAATTTTTATAAAACATTTTGTGCTTTAAAGATGACTCCATTTTATGACTCTATTTATGTCAATTATAGCAATAATTAGTGTACCTAGGGCCGGATTTTTAACATGATACAATAAGTTTTTTTCTAAATTTTACCTAGGGCCACTAGCTACAGTACCAACGGCTGCTCGCTATTACGTTTAACTCCATAATGAATTGACAACGAAGATTGGCACATAAATTTGGTTAAAAATTTTTTTAGATTTTTTAATTTTAGATTGTTTTTAAAAAATTTATTTAGTGTTACTTGATTACAACGCATAAATAAATAACAAAATTGAACAGCTCTGAGCTAAAATGACAAATAAGTCTACGCGTGATTTCTAAACTACCTCGAAAAGAAAAAAAAATCTGCACCAATCAAAGTTCAACAATCTACCTCGTTATTAAATAAATTTTTTAGACACATACAACCCTAGACTTGATAGCCTTATGAAAATATCATCTATTAACGAACCCCGATTGAGAGGAAACCTATTGAACATCACATTTAGTATTTAAGTAACAAATAATATAATATACAAGAACTTATCGAAAAGCATTTCTTCTAGGATTTAAAAACAATCTAATACCAGAGACAAAAAATTACTTTAGACCATGACCAAAAGCGTTTTCCGATTATAACTTAAGTTATTGAAAAAAAAAAAAAAAAATGTTGAAGACTACTAGGGAAAGTTTGTGCACTCCACTTTATTCGAGAACTATAGAGTTTTAAGTTCTTTCCCACTATATTTGAAAGCTAAAGTTCTAAGTTATGCTTCTCAGTGAGATAGTTAGTTATAATTTTTTTTATGGTAGCAATGCTCTCTGAGAATCAAAATAAGATTGAAATATAAAAAAAATTATAACTAATTACCTCATTGAGAAGCATAACTTTTTATTTTTTTTTATTTTATTGTTATTTAGGTGCTCGAAGAAGACCTAACGGTCTTGTCACAAAGCACCGCGGAAGTACATTTAACCGGGAAGTTCACGCCTCCTTCCTTACCGTGACGTGAAAATATGTTCAAGCCTTGTTTCAAACCTGGATCTCCTGCTTATAAAGCAAGCGCTCTTACACTGCGCCACGGCCGCACTTAGAACTTTAGCTTTCAAATATAGTGGGAAAGAACTTTAAATTTTACAGTTTCAAATGAAGTGGAGTACACAAACTTTCCCTAGTAGTCTTCAACATTTTTTTTTTTTAATTTTATAAATATGAAATAAATAGTAAGATAATAGTGGCATGAAATTGGCATATACAATAAAAAGTTTGATCGAGCCCAATTGTTGCTATTATGTTAATCATCAATTAAGAAAACTTTATTTGATCAAAACATGTTATTTTTTATTATATTTCTTCAGCATTGTTTCTTACATCTGAATTACTAAATAGGGATTCTTTGTTTTGGCATCTTTTTAATGGTTTATAGTTTCATCAAACTGCTGTGGTAAAAGTTTCTAATTAAATATAAATTTGAAAAAATTTACTAACCTGCAATTAAAATTTTTAGTTTGGCTTGATTTGATTTGAAAGATTTCATATTGATTTTTACAACTAGAACCAGAAGCATTCAATAAAATAAGTACAATAATCTATAACACCAACTTTATAAATTATAAAGATATAAATTTTTAATTACAACAAACCCCAAATCGAAAACTATATGATATAATATAATAACATTTTGTATTATATCAAGACTTACTAGCGCACTATTAACTTACATTACATATAATTACAAGCGCATTATTAACTTACATTATATACAATTACAAGCGCACTATTAACTAACATTACATGCAATTACAAGCGCAGTATTAACACGATAAAGATTAAAAGATTTGACAAACTCAAAACGTCACTAAAGTTGTCATTTTTTCAGGGGGTATACCGACAATAAGGCAAAAAGATCGAATAATAGTTTCTGTTGGAGTAGAAATTGTCTAAGTATGATAAAACTCTATTACCGTGAAAAAGTGAAAAGCGCACTAAAATTCTTGGACTTGGTTGATATACAAATAGATGTATACAGATTTATGATTTGACAGAGCATCCTGTTTAAAAACACAAAGCTTAATTTTAATACTTCAATATACTTTGTGCATTCTTGTGTATGTGTTTTTAAAAAAAGTTTACAGAAAAGTACTTTCCATTGTTTTTACAAACTAAAAAAATATAGGTATTTAATCAAATTCAAGTTAAAAAATAAATTTCTAGTACAATTTTTTTTAGTAGTAATATTGTATGCTATACATTGCAATAAAAGGTTTTCTGAAATTTTTTTCTATACCAAAAAAACATGATAGAGTATGTTTTAAAAATATTCAATCATGAAAGCTTAAAACCTACTCAAGCATGTGTCATCTTTTTGCAAATAATTTGAACATTTGTTGTCTGTTTACTTTTTTTTAATTTTTGATGTTAAAAATTGAAATACTCTTTAAAAAATTATAACTGCAGGACCAACCTTAAGCATAAGCAAACTGGCCACTGCTTCGGGGCTCCGAATAGTCGGGGCCGTTGCATTAAAATTTTTAAAGTTATTAAGATTTTATTACTAAAAGAAAGTTCTATTTCATAGCAATTTCTAAAGGGGTTTCCTAATTATATAAATTCTTCGAAGGTTGATACTATTCATGACTAAAAGATCATTAACCGCGCATGCGTAGAAGATCATTAATCGCGCATAAAAAAAGGAAATTTATGATCATTGATCGGGAAAAACAATTCAATATAAGGTAATAAACCTGATCGGTGGCATGTGTTGCAAAGTTTGAAATATTGTTCCATTATTTGGGCTGCACACCTAATGCTGGTCACCAAGAGCAAGTGACTTTGAATTTTGTGAATTTGCAACATTGGTAGTAGAAATCAATGAATTCTATGAGTCAATGACTGCACTGGTTCAGGTTTTGCGGAAGCATGCCTACAAAAGATTAAAGATCTTAATTTAAATTTGTAGAACTGTAGAGGCCAAGAGTATGACAATGGACCAAATATTAAAGGTTGCAGTTGTGATGTACAAAAAAGTTTACTTGAACTAATCCCAATCTAATTCTTGAAGACATAGTGAAATCTTTAGTCGTAGCAATGGCACTTTTTGGAGCTTGGCATCAAATTTATCTTTTGCTTGGTGCGACAAAATCTTTTCCGATAAACACTGGTAATGCAGAATCGATAGTGCAAATGCTGATTGTTATTTCATTGGTGGAAGTTACCTAAAGTGCTAAGCAACTGGACTAGCTAAACTAATCAAAAACTTTCCATTTTTAGTTTCTTAAGCCATTTGGTACAATTTATTGCTTCATATCAATATCGTCAGCATGTTGATGCAATCAAAAACATACAATTTGACATTGCACTAGAATGTATAAAAAAAAAAAACCGAGTTTATAAATTGTACAAAGAAAATATATTTGTATCTGCTAAACGTTTAACGGCAGAATTGTCTCAGTAATTTGACATGTAACCAGATGAAATCATATTTTTAGCTGCTATAAGCTTGGGGCAGAAGAAAGCGCGTAAACAGTTCAATTCAAAAGCACAGATGAATCATTGACAAATCCAAATCAAAAGTATCGAGTGGAATTTTTTAATGTTATGTTAGATCAAGCAGTTAAAGCAGTAACGACGGTCGTTAACAACACGTTGAATGCATGAAAAAATAAAAGGGTAAAAGGGCTCTACCATACAACACACTCTGTAATTTTTTTGGTCTTTACTATACAACACACAGAGTGTGTTGTATGGTAGAGACCAAAAAAATTACAGAGTGTGTTGTGTTGGATATGGTGATACTTTGAATATTATATTTATTTTAAACTAAGGCACTCTTAATAACCTAACATCATATATGTATTTTAGAAATAATATGACTCAAAATGTCACAGGGAGGATATCAATTTTATATTACTTTTAAAAAAAAGACTTTAAAAAAAAAAACATAAAAATAACTACAAAAACAAAAAAAAGTTAAAAATAACAACAATTATAATGCTTCAAAATAAAAAAAAAAATTTACTTAATGAAAAATTGTTGCACTTTTTGGTATACGTATCTTACCTTTTGGTATACGTTATACTGTCCTCAAAAACATAAGCAACCAAATAAAGAAATTAAATTTTTTGAACCTTTATTACTGAAAACAGCATTTTTTTTATTTCTAAAAAATAATTCTTTAAACAAAATTAAGTTGTTAATACTACATATAAAGAAAAGAGTTGTACATAAGGCTACCTGAATATACGTGTTGTTTTGCAATGATTTTATTGTAAAAATGTGGTTATTAAAGGCAGTCCTCTAAAAACAGATCGTAAGAGCGGAAGACCAGGCAAAAAATGTGGTTTAACTTCAAATAAAAAGAAATCTTTTGAACTAAAATTTTAGCCTTCGAAAATACAGTTAACAGTCGGCTTTAACTTACAGGACTTTTGAAAAAAAGATGTTCCATGACCCTAAAAGGTAAATGATATGCCAATTATTATTAACTTTAATAATTTTTTTTAGTAGTAATAAAAGAGTTGCCAATGTTTTGGATAGGGATGGCAACCCTGGGATGCCAAATTTGCGGGATTCCGTACAAATTGTTCATCCCGATATCCCGGGATTAGAAATATTCCGGGATTTCGGTATCGTCATAAAAAAAAGAAAAATTACAAAAATTTTATACTTAGTTTGTAAATAAGTAATTTGCACATAAAAAATATAGGCATCGTAGCTATTTGGTTTTGTAGCTGTTTTTTCTCTTCGCAATGTTTTCTTTTTATTCTCTTTCTGTATTTTATTGAAAATACAAACTAAAAACATTATTGCTTGTTTGTAAAATATATACGATTAAACATATAAAAAATGTATTTATTTTTAATAATATATTAAAACTAATATATTATTAAAAATAAATAAAATTTTACCGCTTGTTGATGAGAAGATCAAAAAATTTTAATAAAAGGTACACCTTAATTTTATTTTAAATTTTCTAATTCATTTTAAATCCAACTGTGTGCGTGACTCAATTTAACTACAGATGCGGGCATGATTTGCAAGTTTTTTAAACATCGGACTATGGTTTCTGAGAGCCTATTTTTTGGCAGAAACCCATTTTTTTAAAGTATTTGAAAAGATTTTTTTATGTAGTATCTTTAAGTAAACCCTTTAAAGTTATAATAAACATCGTCTATTTTTAAATTATTAGCTTTGTTATATCTGCACTCAAACTTAGAATATTTTTAACTCAGTTTTGTTTACAGTTAATTAGTAATTAGTTAGTACAGTTTTAACTCAGTTTTGTTTACAGTTAATTAGTAATTAGTTAATACAGTTAGCGTAAATTGAGCTCTTAATTTAATAATACATAACTTTATTATATTATTATATTATAATTAATATTTTTAATTTCTGTAAAGTGAGTTATTTTTATACAGGTATATACTTTTTAAAAATATTTGATTAAATTGAAATATTGCATTATTATGTTATTTAAATATAAACAATAAACGCGTAGAAGTATTTCTTCTTCCATTACTTTTTTCAAATCTATAAATTTACTTTTAAAAAAATCTCCGTATTTCTCCAAAAATATTTTTACACGATTGAATTTTGTTAAGGTTCTGAAATATATTCCAATTTTTAAAACCTGCCCCTAGTTTCCCCAATTAAAAATATATTTGGTTGTTTGCAGTGATGTACCGTTTCCAATAAGAGAATTTATTTAATGCCGAAATAGAACGATAAAGATGAGAAAAACTCAGATGTTTTTGACCACGTCATTAAAATAATTGGAAATGATATAAAAGTAGTTATAAGCAATAATATTCAGAAGAAAATGTAAATTGAAATGAAGAATAAATGGTATATCTGTAATGGTTTGAACTCAGAAGATAATAAGATCTAATGGAGCATTTACACTCCTTAATCTGTGCAGTTTTAAGTGAAAAACACTATATTGACAGACAGGTAGATAAAAAAACACGATATTGACGGACAGATAGATAAGTTAGAGCTAATAACAATGATTTTTGTCTATTAATAAAAAAAATTTAAACCATTACTTTATTTATGACGGAAGTTGATAAAAATATTTTAAATATATTAGCTGGAACAAATTCAAACCAAGCTTGTCCGATACGTAGAGCTACTTCCAATGATTTTGCTAAACTGCAGGAATTCAATACGACAGTATAATTGAATCCTAAATTTAATACATTATGGCATTAGTCTACTATATGTTTAGATACGATTTTTTGAATTCATCGTCCACATATCATTTTGAAATAATTTGTGTAAATGACAAATTCTTGGTGCTAATGATAAGGAAGTTGTTTTATGTAAAAAAAGAAAAAGAAATACAACAACGGTTCATTGAAAATTTACACTTTTACGTGAATAAACCAAAAGTAGGAGGTTTTTGAAGTACTAACAATGGCAATACTGCTCACCGAGCATTTGAAAATGTTGAAAATTTTTCCAAAATAACTAATGTGAATGAAGAATTGATTAAAAAAAAATCAGTTAAATTTCAACTATATTTATTTGTAAGTTAAAATTATGTCTTATTCTTATATATTTAATAATTTAAAATTATTCTTATGTCCATCTCTTGCTAGTGTCAATAAAGATATTTTTCATAG